GCAGGCACACTGCAATCACCTCTACCTGCGAGCGATAAGGGGAGATGTACGACACAATGAATGCATTATCCCGCGCATGCGATTCGGTGTAACGACCAAGTCTTTCTTTTTTTTTTTTTTTTTCTTTAGAAGGGGGGAAGATTGCCCCGACGGGAAAGAGGAATCGAGGAAACTACGCACCAAGTAAAGGAAATGAAATATTTTAGTTGTACGAGGCAAATCAACTGAGGATATAAGCGATAGCCTGAGGACTCTAAGGAAGGAACCACCCTAGGGTTCGAGCCCTGTGTCCCGAGTTCTGGAGGCTGAAAGGGAACCTCTACGCAACGGAGGCGGCCTACGGATGAGGTGGATGATCATGTTGTGCTCAAAAGGAAAAGAGCCGATGTCCTTTGTGACGCGTTAGTAGTTCTATACGGACGTCACCACGGCTGTTAAAGGGATTCTCCGGACGAAACCGGAAGTACTTAAGTTCTTGCGCTCGTTACGTCGAGGGAGCCTTCATATGGGCAAACATCATTTTTATTTTTATATATGATCTCCCGTTATTAATTAAACCTTTCATGATCCTATGTACGAAACTGCACCCCGAATTTCGCCAGTGTCAATGGCTGACATCCGTAGGTGCTGCGTGACGTCACAAAACGCAAAGGTTTGTCGGATGGTCGGGATAACAAGCGCTGGTCGATGGATGTCTTGTATTTTGTTTCGAATTATATAGTCTCCTCGGCAGTACCCTACTGAAATACGGCTCTTTAATGCAGTTCCCAAGCACGTGCAAAAAAAGTCACGCCTTTTAGCAGGATATTACTCGCAGACGGCCATAAGCTTCGAGCAAACGTATGCCGTTTCGCGCAAACACAACTGCGACGGACGCCGATCGAACTAGGGGCACTTGCAAAGCTATGGATGCAGATTTTGCCTCTGAAGCGGCACTTAGGTACACGAAGCGGCATCTGGGTACACATTTCGGCGGATCCACTGGATCGGTGATGAGGCTGCGGGTCATTCTCTCAGAGGCGACGTCCGTGGGTCGAAGGCAAACAGCGAACCGTTCAAATGCATGTCGTCACTTGACTTGGACGAGCTTGGTGAATCGTAGGTATACGCTCTATTTTCACACGCGGGTCAAAAAGATATCGGGTCACGCGTGCTAAATACAACTTATGGTATCATTTCGAGATGGCCAAGCTGTTGGTTTCGGTTTCGCTGCATAATCAAGATCTGTTCGATTCGGCCACGAAGTTCTAAACTGTCGGTTACAAGTCCAGAAGGTAGCGGCAAATGCCCCTCAAAGGGAATCTTTGCATTTCGACTATAGGTTCGCGGCATCAGGATGATTTTGCGTCGGGAGTCACTGGCGGCAGCGCGCGGTCGGTATACCGGTCACCTCGAAGACGAAGGGCTGACGATAGCGTCTTGGCCAGGGCAATTATCGACCGTAACTTTGGCGTCAAATTAAAGCAACAATCGGCAAAAAAAAAAAAAAAAGCCGATTTTCGGTGTTTTTTTTAGGCCCGTTAGTGGGCGTCCACAGATACCAGCGGACAAAACATGCAGTATTATGCTCAGCTAGGGGGACATGCGAGTGCCAACGCACTGAATCCCAGACCTCTGCAATGTATCGGAGTCGTCAATATGCATCCAAGAACAACTGAAGGCGGAGACTATCAAGAGGGCAACACCTTTCCCGTGTCAGTAAGTAAGAATATCAACACTGTGGATCCCCACATAGCATCAAAAAGAAACAATTTACGTGAGCCAATATTTCTACACTCACCACAGGGAGCCAAACCTCCGCGAGCAGATGCCTAAAACGCTTTTAGAATATCATAATCAAGCAAATTCCTACCCTCGGGATGATCTCAATTCCGCGTCCACCGTTGGTACGTTATTATCATAAATGAGAGGAAATGCAATCTCCGTATCGGCGTTATTGTTAAACATCGCAGACATTTGAGCAAGCGCTGCGAAAAATGGCACCGCGAGCAGAGACGGACGAGGAGTTCCGATATCGCCGTCTGCTCTTGTCGTCTGCTTCTGCACGGACGCTGAACCGAGTCCGGAGCCGGTGCAAGATTTTGAGGAACTGGGCTGAACTCGTTCAGAACTGGAATGAATCGAATGCGCCAGTGCAGCGGTCGTGCAACTTCCGGTTGAATCGAATGCACCATTTCCTGCACTGCCGAACTAGTTCAGCCAGTTCAGACGAATCGAACAGACCTAAATTGACCGATCCGATTTGGGCGAGGAGTGGGTGGACGTAGTTTGATATCGTTAGCGCAGCATCACACCTCAGCTTACAAGCCTTCTGTCCAATGAGAGCTCAGCTCGCAGCTTTCTTCTGTGAGATGATTGCTGCCGCTGCTGCATCAGCAGGATCTCGATCTGGACGGGAATCCAGTCCCTACGCACGACGACGATCCACTTTGCTCGTCACTGCACGTCTCGCGGAAAAGTGTGGAACGTCATGTCTTGGCTCGCATGTGCTGCCCAGTGGTTGTGGCACCCAACCGCGCAACAAAACTCTCACCCAACCACGAAACAAGTCGAGCGCAACAACAAAACCGAAGCACGCTGAGGCGTCCACTCACAGGCAAACAACGAGACAAAAAATGCTCGCTTTGTGTTTTGTGACGTCAGAGCTTCAATGTTGCCAACGAAAGTAGCGTTTACGCTAGAATGCGATTGGAAAAGTATAAATTCAATTACTCACGCAGAGGGGCATATAAAATTCGGATATTGCACGTACGATGCTTCTCAAGGCAATAACAATGATATTCAATTGTTTTCTCGAATACAAAATTCGACCGCACAATCCCTTTAAACAGCTCGACACACAAAAGGCCCTCTAACCACGACTGCCATGTTTAAAGGAGCTGTGCAACGATATTCAATTGGAATGTTTTTCTCTCTACACGAGCTTACTGGCACACCTGGGACTCAAGGATACTCACACGCAACGCCATTGGCCAAGAAACCCCTTTGTTGCGGTGTAATTTCAAGGACAAAAGCGATCATTTTCATTCAATCTCTCCTTTGCAAAATTTGATGACGTAACTCGGGGATCGCAGTACACCCAAGTGACGATATCTGAATGCGGTTCATAGATTGGACCCGAGCATTGCGTGGGCACTCGACTTAGGCTCGTGACAATGGCTAGCTCGAGAAGCATTCGGGTTGTGACCCGTGTCCAATCGCTGCAACGACGACAACAGTCGAGCCATAACAATGTCTGGAACTCAGCGCGTGTCCTGCGCTTTGCCAATCCCAGCGCGTGGCTATGATCAACACTGGCGGCATATAATCGGCTCCAGATCACGTGGCCGCTTGTTCTGGCTGCGAGTTGAGGGGGTGAACGCTGCTCCTTTTTCTTTAATTTTTTTTCTGGGACTTCTATTGCGTGGGGTGAAAAACGAACGCGTGTTTCGTAGGTCATTAACGTTAGGGATCCGTTTTAAGCGGTATTTGCGCAAAGTACAAAAATTGTTGCATAGCTCCTTTAATGGTCAAAGGATAGAACAAACACAGCTATTCGCGGTGAGAAGCTCGCTAGGGGCGCTTATGTTTTGCTCAGTATGGGTAGTGCACCTGCTATCCACGCGGTTATGTATTGATATTCGTAGTGCATAGAAGCCTGGAACTGCACGTGCATGCGCTAGCAGAGGAAGCTGAAGTATCCTCTTTCTGGGTTCTGATATATATATATACAAGAACCTGGCACGCACAAACAATGGGCTAGTAAAAAGTCGTAGAAAGACAGGACGTGCAAGGAGCGCACGCCAGCTGGAAAGTGGTGCAGCCGTCTGCAATGCTCACATCACCCCCGGTGAAACAGACTCCAGCAAAGATACCCCCTTCGAGACATAGTGACGTTTCAAACGATTTAAAATTAGGCGAACCATGCCTCCTTATGGCGGCACGCGCGCCACCCACGCCACCTGGCAGCCATCACCTCGAACGTCTGGCTGGTTTCCCCACCTGTCAGGGTGACAAGCGCACTTCGCACGCCGGCCGAAGTGCCGAAAGAAAAGCCGCCGCCTTTTCCAAACATCGTGACGTTTTCTCTTCACCCGGTATCTGGGGCGTTTGCGGGGGGGAAGTTGCTCACGTCGACAATCAACCGACACTCGGCCGCAAATATGCTCACTGCATTTCGTGAATTGCGGAAAACAAACGTCAAAACGAAAACATGACGATGCGAAGGACAGCCGCGCAGAGGGAAAAAAAGAAACAGGGCCACTCGCCAGGGTCGGGTCAGACTGACGTCAGACGAGGAGGGCGGGCGCTCGCTCGAGCACGCGATCCCCGCGTCCGTCAGCGACCCCCGGTGGAGAGGAGGGGCACAAGGGGAAACCTTGGCACGCGCCCCTCGCCCCCCGTCCCAGTTTATGCAGGCCCGCAAACCGTTCCCTTCCCCACTTCCGGCGAGGCGCGGGCACGCGTCACTTCCGGCACGGGCAGCGGCGGGCCAAGTGTGCCGCATCGTCGCACCTGGGCACGGTCGAACCACGTGTAACGCCGAAATCGAACGAGGGGGATCACCGACCGTGCATACGAGACAGGCTTCGGTTCCAAAGACCACTTCGGAAATCTAGACTCGGGAGAAGAGCACAAACTACCGACTGAAAGGTGCACGTATCGATAAAACGAGTGACGAATTTACGCTACGTAAACATGTCCGCAGCTGAATACAAAATATAAATAAAAAAACTACGCTGTTGTATTTGTTGCGAATATTCGTACGCTGTGTCCGGTTTACTGCCGCCATGATAGCTCGCAGGTCAACGTTCTTCGGCATAGGAGAACACGCGTTCCTTCCTCAACGCATCTCGTTACTTCCGACTTTCGGCCGTAATGGCGATCTGGGCCTCAGACGCACGACGATTGAGCCGGCAGAATCGTACACCTGTAGCACCTTTTGGCACGAGTCTGTTGGACGCCCGTCCACAGCTGGCAACGATACGGGAGTAGGCGCGGTTCAAAAAGCAAATACACACCGTTGGAGTCGTTGTTCGGCCGGAGCACCATGTCTGCGTCGTGTGGCGTCCGCACGGAGGCGGAGGCGGCGGGAGCACAGCAGCGACCACGCAGCAAAGCAGGCTGTCCCCACAAAGTTCAGACGGATCCTCGAGGGACCGGCATCACCGCCGACGACGACGACGACATCGCAGCGCACCGCAGAACACGTCGCGGACCCAACACTCGGCGCCGCACCACCAAACCGGAAGATGATAGGTCTCAGGGGGAGAGCGCGGCTGACAGCACGTCTCCTCGCGCGGCACGGCGACGGACAAGGAACGGCGACGACGCAGGCAACGGGATCGAGCAGAAAACGATCACCAGAACGAGAGGGAGAGGGAGAAAGCTAACGTAATCGCTGCGTGGAGAGGGAACCGCGGATAAGAGAGAAGAGGGACAACACTGCGCGGAATATAACTGTCCTTCTTAGCGAGTGCCAAAATACTAGGCCTATCCACCCGTCCGGCCGATCCCGAGCGGTCGTGAAAACAGAAAAGGGGAAAAAAAAAAGTTCAGAAACGAAGAATGTCAAAAAAGAGAGAAAAACAAAGAAAAAGGTGTGGGCCTCGACAAAACGTTAGCGAGCTAAACGGACCGTTTTTTCGTCGCGAGGGTCAGAGCGCCACTAAGGCGCGATAGCACCCACTGGCACCCGCCGCATCGTGAATAAGTCCAAGCCGGAGAGAAATAGGAGCGACGACGATTACGGCGACACGGAAATTGCCAACTGTAGAAAAAGATCCGGAAGTGGCCGCCCCCGACCATCAACTACGAGGGACCGGAAGTTGATGAGGAAGATGAGGAACCAAAACAACGGGAGGAAAAGAAGAGAAGCGGCGAGAAAAGCAGTCTAGACGGAGTCACAAACTTCCCCGTTCGGGTAAATAAATAAAAAAAAAAAAAAAAGGCAACGCACCACTACACCACGTCGCCCGGGTCGCAGCAAGCACGCACTCCACAGTAGGACCTGTCGCCGTTGGAGCGGGGGGGAGACGCCGCCGAAGCGGACGGGCAACTTTCGCCCCCAGAACGGGCTCCTAGGGAAACGTCTGGGGACAGGCGGCCCGGTCTAGGGAATGAGTCGAGGCATGATTTCACGCCGGCTCGGGGACGCTACGACGAATGGGGACGATGTCTCCGCGCATGCGCGGGCCGGTTTCACACCGCCCGATGACGTGCGCGTGGGCGGCACAGGCCTCGGTTGTTCGCAGACGCTACAGGCGGCGAAACGCGCCCACCGACGCACGAAACGAAAACGACGAGGAAGTGCCGTCAGCAGAACGGAAGCAGGTCGATCGCCCCCGCTGACCAGATTTCTACGATCAGTGTCAAACTATTCCACGACCCTGCGAGGTGAATATTCTAGATAATGGTTGGGATCACGGCCAATGTACACACACACACACACACAAAAAAAAAAAAAAATATATATATATATAAAAAATAAAAAAAGCGTTATTATTGTTAGAAAGAAGTTGCGGAAATAATGATTAACGTTTTATGCACTTCTGTTTCGTGTAGAACGCCTGTCCTGAAAAGTCGATTTAGTCATCTATACTTCGTTGACGTGACTACTCTTTATCAAGTGCATTGCTTCAAAATGCCAACAGGACGAAGGAAAAGTCACACTAATTCGGGACAAAAAAACAAAAAACAAATAATAAGAAACTACATTTAAAGATCGCGTTACACATCCGAATATAAGCTAACAATTTAAAATAATCTTCTGAAAACGACTAGACAACATTTCTTCGCGTGGAAAGGTATGGAACTCAATTTCCGGCGTGCTGCAAACAGACGCACAAAACACGTAGGCGACTCCCGTTGGAAGATCCCACAAAATCGTAACGAAGTAACGCGATGGGCACAGGGAATATTCCAAACAAGTGACAACGGCGAGGTGAGGTTTGTTCGAGTCGCGAAATTGTTCACCATAGCGTATTTTTCCGAGACCGTTACTTTCGATGACTCGACTTGGCTTAATTTATCCTTTTACGAGTTGAAATGAAAGCTTCGGTCTCGCTTGCGTTTAAAGTGAAACGGAGTACAGTTCCATTACTGTGACCATATCTCGCCATCTTATGATCAGGCATGCTCAAACAGCCTGCGCAGTTGCAAACTTGCCTTCCATTATCGACTTCAGAAGCGTTTACACCGAGAATTCGGCAGTCTTTCGAAGGTACCGACGGTCTAGCAATCGCGTCAGAAGGAACCTGGCAACCGGGAAATGGTGCGTTCCCTCGGCCATCTTGTGCTGTTGACGTATACCAAATCGTGACTGTTTCTTCGATAAGATAACACGCCACACCGTGTTATCGAGGCGTCGGCTCGTTCCAGCGGGCCGCAAGCTCCGCCCATTGGCCAATCTTGCTCAGTATGAAAAGCTCCGATTGTCTTTGGTCAGTCACGCCAACCGCCGGGAACAGTCGAGGAAACACGTTTCTTTCATATATAAAAAGAAAAACGACGACGTTGTTCATGTTCAGGCTCTCTGCTTTATTGTTCCTTTTTCTTTTTCCTTATTCAGAAACGCTGTACATCCAATGCACCTCAATATAAACGCTTATAATTTAACACACAAACACACGCAAACACACGCGCGCGCGCGCACGCACACACACACACACACACACACACACACACACACACACACACACACACACACACACACACACCACACACACAAAAGACCGTTTTACATTAAGTTTAAAACCAAATACAGAAATCTTACTGCTGCTGTTAGCGAAATCTTAAACGTCAGTAAAGTAAAAGCAACGAAATAGAAGCTGAGGTAGAGGTACAAGCTTTCGAAATCCGTGCGCTAGGAGCACAAGTTTCAAAATAAGCAGCCATTATCCATCCCTAATGTCACAATCGGGCCTCGCGGAAAACAAGCAGAGAAGAAATCCTTCGGAGGCTGACCCGCTTTTTAACAAAGTAACAGGGGCAAAGCTCTAACGTCAACGGCGTGTCAGCCGTCGGAGCCAGTACGCGCAACGCTGCAGTCTCGAAAGGGGTCAATATCATCCGCGGCTCGGGAGTCGATGCCTCGCCGCGGCACACATTTCCCCCTGGAGCGACTATGGCTCGAGCCCTCGCTCGCATACACTGTCCTACGCGAGGACGTGTTAAGTGGACGGTGGCCCTACGATGACATCTGTTTCTCGCATTCACCTCGCTTTCATTGAGAGCAAAACATTGTATTTCACGCGGAGAGCGTTACGCTCAAGCGGTAAAGAAAAATCGATACACAGAGGCAAAGGCGACATAAAGCATACATAACCCACAGCGGGCTATGCATAAGCATGCAAAGTATACTGAAGGCACACTGAGCCACAATTAATCGTAATGAGCGAGATTTGCCAAGCGCGGCGCAGGAGCAATCGATCCGCGCGACGAGGCAGAGTCGAACGGAAGGGCAAGCAACCGGACCAACTATAGACTCACGCGAGGGTTCGGTAGCGGAAGACCGTCAACGCACGCGCAGTATAGGTTACCGAATGACGAAGCGTAGCCACGACGTCACCGGGTGGATCGTAAAGCATTAAAGGGACACCGACAGGGTAGTTATGCTCGCCGAGGTTTTTAGTTCTACATGACATTTGACAGCCCAACTATAACCAGAACAGAATTTTCGGTATTTTGTGATTTCCGGTATCTTTCTCCTCGTCTATATTTTTTCTTGCTCCCCAGAGCGGCTTCGGTTTTGAGCAGTAGCGCTTTCTTATTTTGCTAGAAATATACGTGGCACTGTAGCAAAATATTGATTGGGTAGCCTTCCGACACCATAATAGGGGGAGGGGGGGGGGGGGGCTGTCAGTGTCCCTTTAAATCGATTTCAATTGGCCTCCAGGATCACAAATATTTAAATCATTGTTCAATTTGGTGCACAGAGGGCCAAGAAAATCATTTTCGAAGTACCGCCGAAGCCCCTCCGTCTCGGAGCGTTACGCCATAAAAGGAGTTTTCGGAATCTCCGCTCTCTCGCATATTCAGCGCCTCATCAAAGCTATGCACGCGCGCACTCCCGCTATTTTCAAACGGGTCAAAGAAAGACGTTACGACAGATGTCAGCGCGGACGAATATACCCGGCAAGCTCGCAATAGACCTTTCCGGAAAATCTCGGGAGACTTTGCAACGAGGGGAATTGTGGGGCTGCTCGGATGTACGCTCGTGCCGGCTCGAACGCTTCGTATATCCCGGTAGCGGCACCATTCATTCATTCTTATAGTTAGGAGCTCAGAACAAAAACAAAAAGAAATTAAGCGAGCGGAAAAGAAGGTTAGAACATACTCCGTTTTGCTTTCCTTCCGCCTCCTCTGGATTCTGAAATCCAGATATGCTAAACCAACGTCAACTGCGTCTTCTCTTCTCGGATAATTTCACGTGTCGTACATAAAAACGTCACGATCCGTAAAGCAGACGCTGGAGCCACCACGTATTTCCGGAAAGGTGAGCGACACGCGCGGCGCTTGACGGCGGAAAGATCCCAGTATGACGTAACGACTGGTCGGAGGTTTTTCGTATTTTCTTGCGTTTAGTTACATCAACTATAAAAATTCACGTCTAACTTTTTTTTTTTTTTTTCCAAAGGCCTCGTTTTATTTTACTGCGGTTCTAAACAGCTGAAAAGAAACGCTGCATACAAGTACAACACAGTGGACGGGGGTCGCAAGCGCATGAAATTGATGAAGCCCTATCGCTGGTTTGTCAGGGCCCACGCTCGATCGTGTGACTGGGCCCAATGAACAGCCGCGATTGACAGCAGAGTTTGTAATGACTAGAAAGATCCAAAATGCCAACTTTTCTCGATTCCGATTTTACGCCACTGACATTGTCCTTCTCAAGCTGGCCACAATGTTCCGGACTTCAACGGAATGCAGGATGATGTCATTCTCGGCATTCGCAAATCCGAACATGTTATTTCTGTTTCCTTCCCATGAAAGCGTTCCACATCTTCGTCTCCCTTCTGCTCGCTTCCTCCACTACCCAATCTTTTCCATCTTTAACATCTAGTGCCTTCCCTCTGAGCAGAAGCTTGTCACCCTCTCGTAGCCTATATTCCGAAGACGAGAAAGCGGTCCACACAATTCTGTCCAAAAGTTGAGAGACTGGCAGCTAGACTTCGGTGCTCCGGTTCTATCTGGACCAGAGTTTCCTCGCCGGAGACCGTGCCCGAAAAGCACGGCGGGTTGCGCACACACACACACATCTGCAATTGGTTGCAACAGGGTGCGTCAGAACCGGTGTATAAGCCTCCTACGACTAGGGTGCCTTCATGCTCGCTTTGCCAGCGAAGCGGGACATGAGCACCCTACCTACTACTGCCTACGACTACCTGCTGTGCTGCGGTGCCGGTTGTAAGCGTGTCAGAAGAGGCTGCTTACAAGACCCCTTTACACACACACACACAAAAAAAAAGCTGCAAATACATTTTTTTTTTCTAACGGGACACGGATATATATATATAACAAAAACATTTATCACGAAAAATACTTTTTTTTTTTGCAATATTTACGTTGCTAGACGCAGTTTAGGTGCAGAATGTGGAGGTCGCATCCCGGCTAAGCCCCGCCCCATGCTTACTAGCAGATTACATTTCTCATCAGCTGGAGAGATGATTGACGTGCGAAAGGTTGGTTGTAAATATGTCTCCGTGTCGAAAGAGCATTTTAATCGACTATTTTCTTTTTATGGTTCAGAAAAAAATAACCTAGATAGTAATTATTGGTCGCAAAACTATCCCGAGACTGACTTTCCGCTTCGGTTTCGAACGATAACAAACATGGCTGCCCGCATATCTGCGCAGTGCTGAACGAGCGTAGCACGTTGTTGAGCTCGTCAATTTTTATGAGTGCGGGTCGTTTGGAGCTCACAGAGGCGTTTAGAAAATGATCTCATCAACCGACATAGTTCGCAGCAAACAACCGTCGCAAGCACGCGCTTCCGGAAGCGCTGTGCGGATGCTTGTTTTCGTAGCAGGACTGGCCTAA